AGTGGGGGGCGGTCTGATACGGGGGGCGGTCTGATACAGCGGGGGGCGGTCTGATACGGGGGGCGGTCTGATACGGTGGGCGGTGGCGCTGGGATGGGCGGCCACACCCCTGTTATCATTGCTGCTAACTGAGAGCAAACACAGAGCGATGGATGGAGGGAAGCAGAGAGGAGATGAGGAAGGGATGGATTGAAGGAGAAGAAGAAGGAGGTTGGGATGGAGAGAGGGGCTAGTGAGGGAGGGAGGGACGGAGGGAGGAAGAGAGGGTGGAAGGAAAGGAGCTGGAGGGAAGGATTGAAGGAGAAGAAGAGGGAGGTTGGGATGGAGGGAGGGGGAGTGAGAGAGGGAGGGAACTAGGGGCAGGGTAGGGTGTCATATCATTCTGGAAAAAATACGTACGCGTGCGTGCGTGAGTGCATGCGTGCGTGCGTGCGTGCGTGCGTACGTGCGGGCGCGTAAGCATATATTCGTGCGCGCATGCAAAACGTTCGTGCGTGAGTAGGTGCGCGCGGACATGCTTGTTTATGCGTCCGTGCGTACGCCCGTACGTGCGTCCGTACGTGCGCGCCTTCATGCGCGCCTTCATGCGCGCGTGCATGCGCGCCTTCATGCGCGCGTGCATGCGCTTGTATCCACGTATCCGTGGATAAACTTATCAAGCATCTTATCGCCTACTCACTGCCGCAGCGGCTGCACACGTATAAAAAAGGCTTCATCACACGGATTTCATCTCGCGCGGCGTTCTCGCGGCATCTCGCTGCCCAGGGCAGCCGCGTAAGCGCTCTCCCGTCTATTTGCGGAAAATCGTGCGCCTAATGTACGTTTCATTCCCGTTACAGAGACCGTAATCGGAAATCGAGAAAGTGCGACAAGCGTGAACATAGCACGGAGCGGACGTGTGTTTACCGTCAACGACGGAGAAGACGCTCGTGTGTGCCTGCGTGCGTGCGTACATATACGGAGCCAGAAACAAAGCACGAGAGAGAGAGAGAAGGACAGGCAGCGAGTGACATAGAGTAAGACAGTGAGAGCAAGGCCGGTAAGGGCTGTTGGTAAAGCGTCGGCGGAAGAAGGGGCAAGTAAAGTACAAAAAAAGAAAAAAAAAAGAACAAAGTGAGAGAGCGAGAGACAGAGGTAGAGAGAAAGAAAGACAAGGATATTGAGGTAGAGAAAGAGGGAGCGAGCGAGAGACAGAGGTAGAGCGAGAGAAAAACAAAGAGATCGAGGTAGAGAGAGAGGGAGCGAGCGAGAGACAGAGGTAGAGCAAAAGAAAGACAAAGAGAACGAGGTAGAGAGAGAGCGAGCGAGCGAGAGAGAGCGGGAGAGAGCGAGAGAGAGAACGAGAGCGAGAGCAAGAGGGAGAGAGCCAGAAAGAGGAAGAGATCGTGCTGTGTCTGCTATCGTAGCGGAAGGCGTGTGTGCGCGCCTGCAGACGACAGCGAGCTTTCTGCAGACCCACGCACTCCTAGCTCCCGCGCGCGCGTCTCCAATACCTGCTGCGAGGCGGGAGACGTTGCAGTTGGCAGGCAGCGAACAGCCGCAGCTGTGGCTTATATACGTTCAGCTCAGAACTACACCGGCGGTGCGGCGACCAGCACCACGCGCGAGAGCAAGATATCGACTCGAGAAATACGCGCCGTCGAATCCGCTAGAATATTGTGCGTGCGCGTGTGATGCATTTGGGTGCATCGCTGTGAGATAGCGCATCGAAATTCCTATCAGGTTTTCCCTTACTGCATTCGCATCTAGCCGAACATGGATTCATCTCTAAAGGGACGAGGGTGAGTAATATCAAATACGTAGACGTTTATGTGTGTGCGCGCGCGTGCAAGCATGCGTGCTTCGGTGCGCGTTTACTTGCGCGCGTTCGCGCGTGCGGGCGTGCGTTCGTACATGCGCGAGAGCATTTCGAATTAAGGACATTTCACCCTAAGCTAAGTTTAGGTTTACGTATACACCCCGCCATCGTGCGAGAAGGCGCTTATTTAATAGTCAGCGCATGCAAAAGCGATCAGCGCCCCCGCTGTTCATTATATCGCCGTAATGGAATGTTGAATGGCATAATCACGCAGCGGGGCAGGCGACGTTAGTGCACACAATGAAGCCGGGGCGCTCCGACTGACGGCGGCTCCCCCGCTCCGCTAACCGTTAGGGAGTGGCCGCCAGCGAGTTGTTTCGTGTTCAGCTCGCGGTGAGCCGGGGTGGAGACATTAGCGCCTACGATGGTGCCGCTTGATGACGCGAGGCCAGCGTTAGACTAGCTCTAGAACTATAGCCCTTCGCCTTGCCGCCTGTGGCAGAGCGAAGGGCTATAGTTCTAGAGCTAGCGTTAGGCGGACTCGTCCTAACACGAGTGGAATATCGAATAATCCGGTTTAGCAGACAGCGGAAGAGAGGAGAGGAGAGAGAAGGGCGAGGGAAGTGGTGAGGATGAGACAGGGCGGTAGAAGGTAGAGTTTGGGCTGTAGGCGAAAGGGAATACGATTACCGGGATTGCATGACACAGATGGACAAACAAGAGTAGAGTGGCAGGTAGGAGGGCGAAGAAACATGGTAAGGGGAAGGAGAAAGTGGGAGGATAAAGGTAAAAAAGGAAGGGGTGACGTAGAAAGTCGAAGACAATGTGGCGGGTTGGGAAATAAATGGGAGGGAATGGTTAATTTGCGGCGAGACAGTAGGAGTATGGAGGATATCGCATGAGGAAAGGCGTAAAAGAAAGGAAGACCTGGAGACACGCGCAGAAAGATGGTGGTGCATTATTGGTGGTACGAGCTTACCTCGTGTCACCATCATCACTACAATGTGTTTAAAGAGCGGAGATAGAACGAAAGAGAAAGATATAGAGTCGCGAGAGAGAGAGAGAGAGAGAGAGAGAGAGCAGAGAGAGAGAGCAGGGAAAGAGAGAGAGAGAGAGAGAGAGCAGGGAGAGAGAGCAGGGAAAGAGAGAGAGAAAGCAGGTAAAGAGGGAGAGTGAGAGAGAGAGACACAGAGAGAGAGAGAGGGGGGGTGAGAGAGTCAGAGAAATACAGAGAAAGAGAGACGGAGAGAGAGAGAGAGAGAGAGAGAGAGAGAGAGAGAGAGAAGGAGGAAGAGAGAGATCGGGAGAGGGGAACGACTGCATCGCGCGGAATCCAAACGTGGGCATAGCTCAGCCGCAGCTGAGTGCACGTGGCGCTCTGGGAGAGATGCAGACGAGAGCAGAGATGCGGATTTTATCTCTGACATAACGCGCGCGGCAAAAAGCATTGAGAAGCCATGAGCGGCTGGCGCGGAGGCGGTGGCAACGATACGAGTAATTAGGACATTCGGAAACGCAGCGTGTACGAGTGCGATTTACATAGAATTAGCAAAAACATTACCCGTCTCTATGGGGCAGGCATACACCCACTCATATTCAGGCGGGAGAGTGAGAAGAGGCGTGAGAACGACAGTGTACGTGTGTATCGAGAGGGCGGGTGCGACACGGAGTAAAGCGAGAGAGATAGAGAGAGAGAGAGAGAGAAGAGAGAGAGAGAGAGAGAGAGAGAGAGAGAGGAGGAGAAGAAGAGAGAGAGGAGAG